CTGTGGAATGTCTCACAGTGCTGCCACTTAATCCCTTGTGCTACCAGGGACACCCCAAACAAAAGGTTTTTATAGGAAGTAAGGCAGCTGACTGAAATGTTCAATGATAATCAGAACGTCTAGTGCATAAGAACAAAAACACTGAAGAGGAAATCTACAGGGCAATTCCTCAGGGGCTTTACCGCACGAGCGGTGGCAGCCGTCACTACAAGGCAAGGAGGGTGTCCTGATGCACAGGGTCCAGTTGTTGACCTTATGGTTCAATGGCATCCTCATGCTTTTGGGCTAAGATCCCAAGATCTTTTATTTCCTTTTCATATACAAAACACTAGAAGGGAATCTGATAACTGGACTATCCCAAGGCAAGTGATTTATAAACCCTCTTTTAAAGACTTGAAGGCATCCTACTTATAGAGTATGGGTTAATCTGGGAAAAGATATACAGGAATCTATTTGATGTAAGATGCACTGTGAATTGTGCCAACATCTGTGGGAAAATTTGGCTATAAGAGGATGGTATCTGATTCAACAGGAGCAGTAGGTCAGTGTCTCCAGAATCAACTTTGATAGCAGCAGAGACAGGGTAAGTGAAGGATGTTAAAGTTTCATTTAATTCATTTGGTGGGTTATCTTTTTTTTTTTTTTTATGTTATTTATTTATTTATTTATTTACTTGTTTGTTTTGTTTATACATGCACTGGGTACAGTCAGAAGCGCGGGAGGGTGAGAGAATTCACCAGAGCCAGAGCGGGGAGCAGAGCAGGCAGAAGGACTGAAGTACACTGAGGGGAGCAGCGGGCGGCAGGAGAGGTCTGCGGGCCATGCGGGACCCTCCTCCGGTGGCCGGGGAGCAGCCGGGGATCGAACCGGCACCACAGAGGCTGCGGGCAGCTTCGCAACCCAGCGCTCAACCGCTGCGCCACCGGGGAGGCTGGTGGGTTATCTTGATCATTACTATCAATCTCTAGAATTGTTTCCCCTTTACAATAAGGAGATCCTGAATCATGCTTTTCGAAGAAGTTTTGTTCAATAATATGAATAGGAGTCCCCCTTCCCCTATAAAGAAAGGTTCAGGAAGCAGCAACTTTTTTATTTTTTATTTTTTTTAAAGATGTATTTATTTTATTTTTATACAAGAGCTCAGGTACAGGCCAGAGGCGCGGGAGGATGAGAGGATTAACCAGAGGCAGAACAGGGAGCAGAACAGGCAGACTGAAGAAATACACAAAACACACTGCTGAGGGGAGCAGCGGGTGAGACAGGAGAGGTGGAAATCTCCCTGGCTGGCCAGGATCGAACCTGCACTGCAGAAGCTGCAGACAGCTTCATAGTGCGGCGTTCAACCTGCTGTGCTACTTGGGAGGCCCAGGAACTTTTTTAAAAAAGAAATCCTCTCTGTTGAACTGTTTATAGCTGTGGGATTATTAAACACTGAAAATCTGACTCCAGTGTCAATAGGACAGATTTATTCCCAATGTAGAGAGTTATATCTCTAAGCCAGTTGAGGGAAGATTGGGAAAAAAACCTGGTAGTTCCTGTGATCCCCAACACCAGAATTATTAATAGAAGATGGACTTTGCAGAGTGTGGCTTGAAAACTGTCTACTTTTGAATTTGCTGAGTTTGTGGAAATCTTTTTTTTTTTTTTTTAAATAGAGGCATGTTTTATTTATTTATTTATTTGTTTGTTTTGTTTATGCATGCACCGGGTACAGTCAGAAGCGCGGGAGGGTGAGAGAATTCACCAGAGCCAGAGCGGGGGAGCAGAGCAGGCGGAAGGACAGAAGTACACTGCTGAGGGGAGCAGCGGGCAGCAGGAGAGGTCTGCGCGCCATGTGGGACCCTCCTCCGGTGACCGGGGAGCAGCCGGGGATCGAACTGGCGCCGCAGAGGCCGCGGGCAGCTTGGCAACCCAACGCTCAACCGCTGCGCCACCGGGGAGGCCCTGGAAATCTTTTTTTAAATGTTTTTGCTTATAGTAATGGCAAAAACTATAAGGCTTCGGGATCTTCATTTGGCAACATTTGAAGATAAAAAATTTTTGCAATCTTTGTTTGACTGTTTCATCTAAGGTGCAAGCAAGCTGATTTGCCAATTTAACTAGACTGAAAGTAGATTTGGTCTCCCATTCTACTTTATTTATTTTAACTAAAAGAGAAAGGTGTCTTCTCAATCCTTTAACAAACACAGAATTCAAAGCGATTCTCACAGGCTTGTATCAGAAGGTAAACCTGAATTTGCTTGAAAAGAATTTGAAGCAAGTGATAATGAACAGGTTCATCAAATTTTTATGTAGAAGTCTGAATATTATACTAATCAGTAGGTTTAGAAAAGGTGGTACAAATGACTTGATGACGTTTGACAGCCAGCTTTTTGACCTCTTGCTCAAAGTTAGGATTTTGTTTAATGAATCCTTGTCAGGATTTTCCTTTCTGGTAAGTTTCATAAGATGTTTGGTATAACCCTTAGCAAACACCATGTGATGTAATTGACATTGGTCAGGCAAATCAGGTTGGTAAGTTTGCATTATGGTGTTGAATTCTGCAGCAAATCTATGAGGGTCATGGGTTACTTTAGGAAACTCCTTACCTATGGCTTTTAATTTGACCTTAGTCCAAAGGACATTAGAGATCTGAGGTTTTCCTGGATCCTGAGAAGGCTTAACCTTAATTAAAATTTTTTTTAAAGATTTATTTATTTATTTAAACAAGCATTGGATACAGTCCGAAGCGCGGGAGGGTGAGAGGATTCACCAGAGCCAAAGCGGGGAACAGAACAGGCAGAGTGACGAAATACACTGCTGAGGGAAGCAGCGGGCATGGCAAGAGAGGTCTGTTGCACCATGTGGGACCCTCGCGGGTGGCCGAGGATTGAACCACGCTGCAGAGGCTGCAGGCAGCTTCACAGCCCAGCGCTCAAATGCTGCGCTACCAGGGGAGGCCCAAAATTTTTAATATTTTTTATAGATTTATTTTATTTATTTATGCATACAAGAGCTTGGGTGCAGGGCAGAGTTGCAGGGAGGGGCGGGGGGCAGGGCGGTGAGACGATTCACCTGAGAGAGTTGGGAGCAGAACAGGCAGAAATGCACTGCTGAGGTGAGCAGCGGGCTAGACAGAGAGGTCTGCTGCACCATGTGGGTCACCTCCCTGGTGGGGGATCAAACTCCTGCTGCAGTGGCTGCTGATAGCTTCATAGTGCTGAGACTTAACCCCTTGTGCCACCAGGGAGGCCCCGAGTGCTTGAATCTTGATTCATAAAATATCAGGGTCTAAGTTCCTAATTCAACTACATGTTGAAATTATCTAGGCAGCTTAATTTTTTTAAATACCCATATTAATCTCCTCCCTTCCACAACTCTCATTCTATTGATCTGGGAAGGGACGTAAGCGTGGACAGTTTTTAAAAAGTTCTCAGGTTTTCAATTGGTCAGCGGGGCTGAGAACCATTGCGCTAGAGAGCTCACAGGAGAGAATGGTGAATTCAAACTGTATCCAGTGGCTGAAGCCTAGAACTGTTGCAGGTGGTGCCTCCTGGAGGAGGTTGCTGGTGGGAATAGATACCCCAGCGAAAATGCTAAAAAGTATTGCATTTTTGGGATGGAGCTACTGATAAGTAATATAAGAGACTACAGAAGGGGGCGTGGATTCATTCAGTCTTCAGAATTCAGTGTTTTCTGATGTTCACCATTTGGGGTCAGCGGATTTTGGCCCCTACCATGCTGATCATCCAGAAAGCTGTTGTGGGCCTCTGAACATGGAGAGGCCTACAACAGCCAACCTCAGAGGGGAGAAGTTTGGAAGCTTTGCATGTAGCCAAGCAACTGAAACTGTTCCCAGTTTTGCTGCCTGGCAGAGAAGGCGAAGACCTGGAGCTGGGCACCTCACCCAGCTGCGGGAGTGTGATTGTTGGGTGGTTCGGTCATTGCAGCTGTTGTCTTGAGTGTTGCTTGTCTGGTGCTGTGCTGACGCATCCTAGCAGCTCCGGGAGTGTCTCCGTTGCATCTTCTGTTGTCTTTGTGAGTTGGAAACTGGCCTAGTGTCTGGCTGCTGCATGCTCCAGGTCAGCAGAGAAAGGAAGATGCTACCTTCCTTCCATGTGATCTATTCCAGAGAGGAACTCTGTGTCCTCAGTGTTGGGAACATGCCATCTTAGCTGCTTTTGTTTAGGACTGAAAACACTGGACACTGCTTTGGTTGAGGTAAAAGGCCATTATTGGCCTCAGTAACATTGTTTTTCCCTGATTTGTTAAATAAATCCCATTGTTGTTGTTCCCTGAGCCTGAGTAGTCTTCCAACTGTGTATGCGGGTGAAGAACTCAGACAGTGACCAGTAACTATTTGGGCAGTGTCCTTGGCCAGTTTTAGTGCCCCTTGCTGCCCTGTTTCAAAACTGGTAGGGTGGAAAAGGTATAGAAAGGTCTTGTGCCAAACCTTTGAAGGGTATGTAAGATTTGGGGATTAATATTTTTGGACTAGTTAATATGTATACAAGACAAAATTCCTAAGTCCAAAAGGATCAATCATAAAAGGTATATATCTTCCTCACCCTTCTAGCCCCTACCTCCTTCCACCTCTATGGAGCAAATAACAGTTTTTGTTTTTACTCTTCGAAACTGCTATTAAAGATCTTGTCAGTTTGGTAACGGTAAAGGAGAAGAAAATAAATGTGTCATTTTCTGCCACAGGAGCTCCCATTAGGCACAGGATGGCATTTCTGTGATTGAGAAAGTTCATGTAATAAAAAAAACCCAAAAATTGGTTTTCAGGATGTTTTTTTTCTTTTTGAAGTTGGGGAGGGGTGATAGTTCTTTCTATCACAGTACATTCTGATTAGCTTGTTTTTAAAAGATTACACTCTTTAAAAAAAAAATTATTTATTTATTTATACAAGCACTGGGTACAGTTAGAAGCGCGGGAGGGTGAGAGAATTCACCAGAACCAGAGCAGAGAGCAGAGCAGGCAAACTGACGAAGTACACTGCTGAGGGGAGCAGCGGGTGGCAGGAGAGGTCTGCGTGCCATGTGGGACCCTCGTTGGGGATCAAACCAGCGCTGCAGAGGCTGCAGGCAGCTTCGCAATCCAGCGCTCAACCGCTGCGCCACCAGGGGAGACCCAAGATTACACTTTTTATTTTGAGATAATTGTAGATTCACATGCAGTTGTTAGGAAATGGTACAGAGTTCCCTGTAATCTTTGCCTGAGTACAAATGCTAATTCCAGTGCTCATCAAGTCACTTCAAATCAAATTTTCCAGTAAAGTTTTGAAAAACTGTCCTTAGGAAATAAAAGCACGCATGTGTTTGCGGGGAGGGCGTAGGGCATGGAGAGGAACAAAGTGTTTTCGTTTTCCCTTATAGTTTTTGAGAAATCAAAACTAACATGCTAATGTACTTACTTCTCCAGGGCACAGATGCTTCCTCTCCTTTGTAACACTATGTGTGCGTGCAGGGGAGTTGGAACCACACCAAGGGAGGGGCACCAGTGGGGAGGGAAGCTTTTCTTAGCCAGACTGAAACAACAGGTTTCTTTTAGAGTCTAGACTCCAGGTCAGAACATGCGGGGCCTGTCCCTTCCAAATCCACCTTTCTGGTTCCAGACACAACCACCACCAAAGAGAGGCAACCAGACTTTCTGACCCTCTCTGGTTTCCACCTTGGCTCTTTGTTACTGGACTCTGACTAAGCACGTCCCACTATTAAAAGTTTCACAAACAGATCACGCAGTAACAGGGCAGCTGTGGTCCCTTCCATGCCGATTCTTTTTTGAACTTTATTTGCTGAAAGGAACACTTGGTTGGAAAGACTCAAAAAGATTTATTATTATTAAATTTATTTATTCATTTTCTACAGCATTGTTAATTTTTGATCTCTCCCCAATTCACCATCCACTATTTACCTTCACCTTGCACGGTATGTACTCTGCCAATTAAAAATGTACCTCATGGGCCTCCCCAGTGGCGCAGCAGGTTGAGCGCCGCGGTGTGAAGCTGACCGCAGCCTCTGCAGCGCCGGTTCAATCCCAGGCCACTGGCGAGGGTCCCACATGGCACGCAGACCTCTCCTGTCGCCTGCTGCTCCCCTCAGTAGTGTACTTCGTCACTGCCTGTTCTGTTCCCCGCTTTGGCTCTGGTGAATTCTCTCACCCTCCCCCGCTTCTGACTGTAACCTGGTTCTTGTATTAATAAATAAATAAATCTTTAAAAAAAAAAAAAAAGAAAAAGCTACCATTATTGGGTGTTTAATATGATCTGTCATAATGTTAATGTTTTTAATTTTAACCCCTACTTGTAAAAGCTAGTGTATATAGCTTTTGACCATCTGTGCTTATTAGGCAAACAGCCTGTTAGGTTACAAAAGTAACCTCTGAATAATGTATTTTTAAAGATTTATTTATTCATGCTTATAAGAACTGAGGTATAGGCCAGATGTGTGGGAGGGTGAGAGGATTCACCAGAGACAGAGTGGGGAACAGAACAGCCAGACTGACTGAAATACACTGCTGAAGGGGGCAGTGGGCGAGACAGGAGAGGTCGGCTGTGCCAAGTGGGTAGCTCTCTGGCCGGCGGGATCGAACTTTTGCTGCAGAGGCTGTGATTGCTTCATGGTGCTTTGCTTAAGCCCCTGTGCTACCAGGGAGGCCCTGAGTAATCTTTTTCTATGCACGAAAGCCAACTTTCATGGTATCAAGATTCACCCCGACAGTTTATATTTCAACTATGTAACTTCTGGTTTTAATGGATAGCTTACCCTCTGTATTCAGAAGGATCAGGTGAATGGGATTAAATTGCAAAGATTGAAAAAAAATGCAGGATTCTTCTTTTCTAGAACTTTTCTTGTTCCAAAAATGCCATTTTCTCTGATGGGGAGATGAGTTGGTAGAGTGAACACAGAGCACCAAATATAAATTTAAGATAGCCAGAGATAACTCTTGGGTTAATCCAATCCCTTTTGGGTAAGTGCTGAGTATTTCAGCCATTTTCCACTCTCTCCCTTCCCTTAGCGAAGATGGCATCCAGGAGGGGGAATGTTTTTGAGTCTGTATGATACTGGGTGGAATGGAGACTGGTCCAAGTGGGTTTTTGCTTTGCCCAGTGGGCCCTTCCTAGACTGCGTTTGCAGTGCCTTGCCTCACTAGGACCCGACACTGGTCACTGTCTTTGCTGAATCCTCTTGGCCTCCAATGACATTTTGCATTTGACATGGGCTTTTACAGGTCCAATAGGCCTTTTTGTCTGTTCCCCGACTCATCTAAGGCACACATGGGACACCGACAAAGGATCTCCCGCTGTCTCAGGGAGACTTTCCAGGCTGTGCCTTCTCTTGGGGCCAAAGATTGGCTACCCAGGATATGTCTATGTGGCTTGTGGATTATATGAAAGAAATTGAGCCAAAATATCAAAGAATGATATTTTTTTGCCTAATTATATACCTCTCTATAGGGTTGGTAACAATAGCTGTGCACACACATGCAATAGGGAAAAATTTTGCTTAATTAAGCTCTTCTTAAATATAAAAACCAGAATGGTTTCCTTAAATGCAGCTTTTGGTAAAGAACGATAAATCCCAACTTTCTGTAGCAGTTTTATTTTTTTCTTAAAAGAATCCAGTTTCTGCAGAGATAGTCATTTGATGAGACACATGTTTTTCCTAAAATGCCCAATCTCATACAATTCCCATAACTACAGATGAGAATTATGAGAAGAATGTATCCACCTAAATAGTCAAGGTCTAAAATCCTTGTTTCCATGACATTGGAGTGGTTTTAGTAGCAGATATTTTAACTATAATCTAGGCAAATATGCCTTAAATCTTCATCACCTGGTTCTTCTTTTTAAGAGACTGTAAGATTGCTTATTCAAATCTAACTATGTGGCAACAAGACCTGAGAGTGCTTCATAAAAATTTGTTTAAAAAATTCCCAGATAAACATCACTTACTAATTTTCAATTCTATTTATATTTTTCTCTGTTTCATCTGTCATCTTTTCTTTCCACAAATTTCCGAGGACAATTCCTAAAAAAATGATTAGTCCTACTGTTCGGTTGGAGGTAAATTTGCTCCAACAATCGTCAGGTCTGTGGATGTCTAGGGTGTAAATCTGTAGGAGAAGCATACAACGCTCAGTCAATGCTTGGTATGGACTTTTGGCATCACACATAAACACATCATACAGAAAAGATAACAGCATTTTGCTATAGAATTTTTAGCAATGGGAAGCCCTGACTGCACCTTTTACTATTTCCACTGTAGAAAATCTACCTCATCTTTCATAGGGTATCATTTAAGCTATGTCCTGGAACCTTCAACCTGAGTGTGCATAAATGCTTTGAGAGGCAATCGACCCATGCTATTTTTAGTCCTAGTTATTAAGAGACCTCCTTCTTTACACTGATTGATCTAAAATCTGCTTCTGATAACTCCTAGCCTCCAGTTTTAGTGTTGGACTGTGTGGCAATGTATGTCACCAGGAGAACAAGTTACATCTAGCAGACAACTCTGTTCTGTGTCTGGTACACTGAAAGATATTCAGTATACCTGGCCCTCATCCATGAAACGGCTGTGGTGACCCCTCCTCGCTTCATGATAACCAAAAATACCCCCAATACTTTCCAAATCTCCCTTCTACCCCCACATAGAGAGGTGTATAATGACTTAGAACAAACATACTCCTTTCCCCCATAGTAGTCCTGCAAACACATCAAGAAAATCTCATGTTCCTGCCCTGTCCTACTCTTCTCTAGACTTATTATCAGCATCCCTCATTCTCCCAACCATTTTTTATTATGCAGCCTGCACATCTAAAATCATTCTTTTCTTTCTCTTCAAACACTAGCGGCTTTGTCCATCTTACTATACTGTGTCAAGAACAGAACCCAAGGTTACAAATACAATTTAGAAGATAAAGTGGGGCACAAATATTTCTTATAATATTTGTAATTGTCCTCAATATTTCTGTTTTCCTTTACTACTTAATATCCAGATACTTAAATATTCATTGTCTTGACCAGACACTCAATGGATGACGGTAACTCCATGAGCTGAGTTATAACCAAAAGACAATACTAAAAATTTCTGAAGAGGAAAATGGCAAAATTAGAAAATCCCAGAGAACCTCCAATTTACACTTTTACACAGTTTTCCCAGTGAGGGAAACAAGGAAGGTGATAGAGCATGTGGCTTACGTTATGGATATCAGATTTTAGTTTCCTTTATACCATGTTATACAAATCTTACCGATAGTGCAAAGTAACTTATAATAATATATATAAAATATACTACCTAAATATAGGTTCACTAGCAGCTTTTTGATTTTGTTCAAAGAAAACAGCAGTCACACTGATGTAAAAATACAGTCTATTTACTAGCAATCTACTAGTTCATTCATTTTACAAAATCACAGTATAAGCTAGTGGGGGCTGGGAATGGCATGATGTTTCCTGAAATGAAAGTTTCCTACTATCTATTAGAATTGCATGTTTTATAGGCCTTGTTCTCAGTACCAGCAGGAACCCATACAGTGAATGAATGGCTTGCTAACCATTACTAGAAACCAACATTAAGATACACATATATATTTTTGCAGATGTTTGCTTTCAGAGTAATTCAACTCAACCAACAACCTAGACATTGATCAAATTTTCCTAGATATGTATCAAAATTAATTCTAGGAAAATCCAAGGGGAAAAGAAATTTAAGTTTAGTTTATTATTATTTCTCGAAAATAATATAGCTAGCTTTTCTACATGTTACATTAAGGCAGGGGGCAGTTCCAAGCAGTATAAGCTAAACTGGTCCCTTGTTTGGTAAACACAGAGGGCATTTAATTTAAATAACTTTCATAATTTTATGCTAAGAAAAAACAAGGAGAAAAGAGTACGAAAAAGGTCAAACCTGGTGAGTCAGATGGGCTCCCACAGCAGCTAGGGCAGTGTAGTAGGGGGCAGTCTGGTTACAGTTCACTCCCACCAGACTCAGAGCGCCCAGCATTGCCATGCTGAAGCCAGTGAGCCACTGCTTGGTGTTTTCACGAAACAGCAAGGCCGTGGACTTAAGACCAATCAGAGCGTCATCTCTTTTGTCCTAATATCAGAAAAGAGTAAGAAATTGGTTTTTATCAAGATTTAATTCACATTTCATATGATCACCATTTTAAAGTGTTCAATTCAGCAGTCTCAGTATAATGACATCATTGTGTATCCATCACGACTAATTCCAGAAGACATGCAGATACGCCAAAAGCTTTGAAAGATGACTGCAGAAACAGGCTGGTCATTCATGAAAGTGCAGGCCTAATCAAAGTTAAATGTCACCTTGTAGTTCTACTTCTACCCTATAATGACTGTTTACTATATTTCACTACATAAGAAACAAAACCCAGCTCTAACCTTTGACATAGCTCCTTGCTACCTCAGAGTTCTCAAATCTCAACAATTTCTGTATACTTTATTTAACCACATAAAAATCATAGATGGAGGAAAATGCTCTTGTGCCACCTAACTACAACCATTCATGTTTCCTTGCTAGTTCAATTTAATCCTTGCTCTCCCATTAAATCCTTGCTGTTTAAGAAGAGTGAGGCCTTACCGATAGACTCACATCTAGCTGACTGGTCTCCTCCAGCAACTTTATTTATAAGCATTTCCTTAAACGCTGTAATTATGACCATGTGCTGTCAGTAGCTGCATGATAAACAATGTACTTAGTTGCAGGCAGGCAATAATCTGATAGCTCTTTGGGATTTCAAATAATAATAATGAGTGGGGGGGGTAACAGCATATTTTCTTTTCACACTACAAACCCCTTTAGGATGCAAACTATGTGAATCACAAAGGAGTCAATGAGTATGGTGTTTTACTGAAGAAATTACTCAAATTGAAATACTGTCGGGCCTCCCAGGTGGCGCAGCGGTAGAGCGCTGGGTTGCGAAGCTGCCCGTGGCCTCTGCAGCGCCGGTTCAATCCCCGGCTGCTCCCCAGCCACAGGAGGAGGGTCCCACATGGCACGCAGACCTCTCCTGCCGCCCGCTGCTCCCCTCAGCAGTGTACTTCGGTCCTTCTGCCTGCTCTGCTCCCCGCTCTGGCTCTGGTGAATTCTCTCACCCTCCCGCGCTTCTGACTGCACCCAGTGCATGTATAAACAAAACAAACAAACAAACAAAAACAAACAAAAAAATGCCTCTATTAAAAAAAAAAATCTTAAAAAAAAAAAATTGAAATACTGTCACCCCAATTATTTTTGTCCTCACCGCAAAAAGTATAAACATCTTCCCTAAACTGTCAGCCAAGTTTCACTTTTGAAAGTCCAGCTGATCAGTGTACTTCGTTCGGTCCTTCTGCCTGCTCTGCTCCCCGCTCTGGCTCTGGTAAATTCTCTCACCCTCCCACCTTCTGACTGTACCCAGTGCTTGTATGTATAAATAAATAAATAAATCTTTAAAAAAAAAAAAAGAAAGTCCGGCTGATTACAGATCTGGTAAATGTTTTCATGATAATACAAATGTAGTGGGAGAAAAGGTTAGTGGCAGAAAGGAGATGAAAACCAGATTGCAGTATTAGAAAAAAATATCATTAAATCACAAGTGCTTGAGAATAGTCATACTTCAGAAGCTACTAAGAATAAATTATGTTCAAAGTTCATAGACATTAGAGAAAAATGAGGACTATAAACCAAGAAAAGGAAAAAAAAGTGTTTATTTTTTAAACTGATAAAGAAGGCATTACCAAAAGCTAAAAAGATGTTCATATTCTTTAACTCAGTAATATCACTTCTAAAAACTTACCTGAAAAACTTGCATTCATTAACATGTTAGTAATCACCACAATATTACCTATAATTGCAAAACTTAAATGGCCAAAATAGACAAATTGTTAAATTTTTTTTTTTAATAGAGGCATGTTTTATTTATTTATTTGTTTGTTTGTTTGTTTTTTGTTTATACATGCACTGGGTACAGTCAGAAGCGCGGGAGGGTGAGAGAATTCACCAGAGCCAGAGCAGGGAGCAGAGCAGGCAGAAGGACCGAAGTACACTGCTGAGGGGAGCAGCGGGCGGCAGGAGAGGTCTGCGCGCCATGTGGGACCCTCCTCTGCTGGCCGGGGAGCAGCCGGGTATCGAACCGGCGCCGCAGAGGCCACGGGCAGCTTCGCAACCCAGCGCTCAACCGCTGCACCAACGGGGAGGCCCCAAATTGTTAAATTTTGAAAAAATTATGGCACATCAAATCAATGGACTATTATTATATTCTTAAATGATCAAGACAAAAAACTGGTAAAAATATGGGAAAATGTTTGTTACCTCTACTAAGGGAAAAAACTGCCTAGTACAATGCTTGCAGGCATCCATAGAAGGACTGGAGGGTATAGGAATTAAAACAGAGGCTTGGGAGACTGGGTTTGATTCCCAGCTCTGCCGCCCACTAGCTATGTAACATGGACAAGTTATTTCTCCATGCAAGTTTCCTCATCTGTAAAATAAGGAAAATAAAAATACCTTTTTTACAGGTTGCTATGATGTTTAAATAAATATTTGTAAAGTATTTAAAACAGTGCCTGGCATACAGAAAATATTATTTAAATGCTCATAAATAAAATAAACATAATACACTCATGAAACAAAATATTTTGTTGGCACCATAGAATTGTGAATAACTTTCATTTTACAAAAAAATTTCTCCTTAAATTGGTTATTTTAAACTGCTTAAAAAACAACTAAACCAGGGGCCTCCCTGGTGGCGCAACAGTTGAACGCTGGGTTATGAAGCTGCCTGCAGCCTCTGCAGTGCTGGTTCGATTCCTGGCTGCTCCCCGGCCAGCAGAGGAGGGTCCCACATGGCGCACAGACCTCTCCTGCCACCTGCTGCTCCCCTCAGCAGTGTACTTCAGTCCTTCTGCCTGCTCTGCTCCCTGCTCTGGTTCTGGTGAATTCTCTCACCCTCCCGCGCTTCTGACTGTACCCAGTGCTTGCATAAATAAATAAATAAATAAATAAATAAATAAATAAGTCTTTAAAAAAAAAAAAAAAACAACTAAACCAGGGGCCTCCCTAGTGGCACAAGGGTTAAGACGAAACCTACAAAGCTATCCGAAGCCACTGCAGCGCGAGTTTGATTACCAGCCAGCCAGAGAGCAACCCATGTGGCGCAGCAGACCTCTCCTGACTTGCCCGCTGCTCCCCTCAGCAGTATATTTTGGTCAATCTGCCTGTTCTGTTCCCCACTCTGTTTCTGGTGAATCCTCTCACCACCCCCCCCCCCCACACGTCTGGCCTGTACCCCAGCTCTTGTATGCTTAAATAGGTAAATATTTAAAAAAAAAAAACAAAAAACAAAAAACTAAACCAAAGATAAGAAAAAATATATTGCAAAAGAACAAAGTTGCACACTTCCTGATTTCAAATGGTTTACAAAGCTACAGTTAACATGGTATAGTACTGACATAAAGAGGTATTCAGATCTGGGATTCCCCGGTGGCGCAGCGGTTGAGCGCTGGGTTGCGAAGCTGCCCGCGGCATCTGCGGCGCTGGTTCGATCCCCGGCTGCTGCCCGGCCACCAGAGGAGGGTCCCGCATGGCGCGCAGACCTCTCCTGCCGCCCGCTGCTCCCCTCAGCAGTGTACTTTGGTCTTTCTGCCTGCTCTGCTCCCCGCTCTGGCTCTGGTGAATTCTCTCACCCTCCCGCGCTTCTGACTGTACCCAGTGCTTGTATAAACAAAACAAAACAAACAAACAAACAAACAAATAAATAAAACATGCCTCTATTAAAAAAAAAAAAAAAAAAAAGAGAGATATTCAGATCAGTGGAACAGCACAGAGTCCAGAAACAAACCCCACGCATATCGGTCAATTAATTTACAACTAAGAAGTCAAGAAAAAGGGAAAACTGAACAGAAACATACAAAAGATGAAACTGGATCACTGTCTTACACTGCATTAAAAAATTAATTCAAAATGGATGAAAGACTTGAATGTAAGATCTAAAAACCTTAACATGCTTAGAAGAAAACATAGGGGGTTAAGTACCTTGACATGAGTATTGGCAATGAATTTTTTCAATTTGACAACAAAAGTGAAGATAATAAAGGCAAAGATAAACAAGAGAGACTGCATCAAACTAAAAAGCTCTGTACTGCAAAGGGAACTTCTATTAACAAAGTGAAGAGGTAGAAAATATTTGTAAGCTATATATCTAATAAGAGGTTAATATGCAAAAGTTTAAAGAACTCATATCACTGAACAGAAAAAAATATACTGATTTTAAAAAAGCAAAGAGGAGAAACTGAAAAGACCATTTGCTAGAGTAGATGGACAAATGATGACAAAGTAGATAAAAAGTTGTTTAACAAAACTAATCATAAGAGAAATAAAATCAAAATGTGAGATATCACCTCACACCTGTTAGAATAGCTATTATCAAAAAAAAGGACAAAAAATAACAAGTGTTGGCAAGCACGTGGAAAAGAGGGATCACTTGTACAATGTTTGTAAGAATACGAACTGTTGTAGCCATATGGAAGTTCCTTTAAAAAATTCCTTAAAAAACAGAACTACTATATAACCCAACAACTCCATTTCTGGACATTTTCCCTAATGAAACAAAATCACTATCTTGAAAAGACCTCTGTATCCCCATATTCACTGCAGCATTATTTACAATAGCTAAGACATGGAAACAACCAAAGATACAGGGAATAGATGAGTGGTTGCCAATCTGTGGGGTGAGGGTTATGTATGAAATAGATGAAGATGATCAAAGGTACAGATTTCTAGTTACAAGATAAAATAGATCCTGGAAATGTAATGTTAACTATAGTTAACAATACTGTATTATATACTTGAAAGTTACTTAAGATAATAGATCTTAAAAGTTCTTATCCCCAGAAAAAAAAATTGTACCTATGTGTGGCAATGGATAGAAACAAAACTTATTTTGGTAATCATTATATACATATACTAAATTATTGTTTTATTTACCACAAACTAATACTAAATGTCAATCATATTCCAATTTAAAAAATTAAAATATTAAAAGATATTCTTTCTTACCTGATGGGCATAGATAGTATCATATATTAGAGTCCACATAATTCCAGAAAAATAAAGAGGCAGACAAACAGATGGATCACAGGATCCCTTGATAGCAGACCATCCAAGTAACGCTCCCCAATTAAAAGTGAATCCTACAATTAGCAAAACACAAAGAGACGTCTAAATGTATCTTAGAGTTCCAAAGGAAAGGAGAGGAGCACCCACATGCATTAAGTACTTGCTATAGATTATTGGGCTCTCTATAAATGATTTCCGTATATTTCTTCCTTAAATTCTCTCAACACTCTGTGGTAGTTATTAGTTCAACTTTATGACAGAAAAAAAGGCTCAGAGAGGCTAATTAACAATTAAAATAACATAGCTAACACAAAAAATGAAATCTCCCTGAAAATAGGAGAATCCATGAGAACATTTACCTAATACAGGATAGTGCCTGATGCAATCAGTAGTTGATGCTGGATCTACACCCAGCACTGAGTCAAAATCCTAAGTTTCTTTCATTACTACCCTTCCTCCTTATATACCACAGAAAACAAGAATACTACAGACAGAAACATGTATTCTACAAGTTCATCCTCTAGAGGACTGTAAATAAACATCTACATGCTAACAATTCCTAAACTTCTGTGGAAGCCCTATCAATTCCCTAGATTTCAGAGCAGGCACTAAACTGTTTGCTGGGCAGTTCTACCTGACAGTCCCTTAGATACCTCAAACACAATGGGTCCCAAACATCTTTGCTCAGAAACCCCTGATCTCCTTTATTGCCAATTTCCATTCAGAATTCCTCCTCATAATAAATTCTCTTCTTTGTGGCCCCATAGACATTCACACATACTGAAAAATGGACCTAATTATTTATTGTCTCCTTCTCCAGCTCCTTCAAGATGGTGCATGAGCTTTAGTCATTTTTATTTTCTTAGTACTTTGTACAATTCCTGGCATAAAGATAAATAGTTGAAGTAAATATGCCAGCTTCCTGATGTTATCTTATATATAGAAAATGCTTATTCATGTATCATGTAGCCTTTTACAAAAGAATAAACTATTCTTTGGCCTCCCTGGTGGCGCAAGGGGTTAACTCTTAGCACTAGCAAGCTATCAGCAGCCACTGCGGCATGAGTTCCATCCCCAGCCAGAGGCTAACCCACATGGCGCAGTAGACCCCTTGTACCTCTGGCCTACCCCCCAGTTCTTGTATGCATAAATAAATAAAAATATTTTAAAAATACACTATTTTTTTATTTTTAAAATTTTTTTTAAAGATTTATTTACTTTTATACAAGAACTATGGTATAGGCCAGAGGCACGGGAGGGTGACAGGACTCATCAAAGACAGAGAGGGAAGCAGAACAGGCAGACGGACTGAAATACACTGCTGAGGGGAGCAGTGGGTGAGACAGGAGAGGTCTACTGCGTCATGTGGGTATCTCCCTGGCCAGCCGGGAATCGAAACTACGCTGCAGAGACTGCGGATAGCTTCACAGTGCTACACCCAACCCGCTGCGCCACCAGGGAGGACTCTTTTTTTTTTTTTTTCAATAATGAAAAGAAAAGAACTTTGAATGAGAAGCTCTTGGAGAAAGACAACTACTCTATCTCAACTTTTCCATAAATAAGGCTCACAACAATTTTTTGGAGTGCCTTTTACTTCCTCTTTTATTTACCAAAAAAATGGTTCAGTTAGCATAGTTCTAGAAATATGCTAATATTTTTTTTAAGATTTATTTATTTATGCATACAAGAACTGGGTACAGGCCAGAAGTGCGAGGGGGTGAAAGGGTTCACCAGAGACAGAGCAGGAAGCAGAACAGGCAGAAAGACCGAAAACACTGCTGAGGGGAGAAGGCGGACGAGACAAGAGAGGTCTGCCAGCCAGGATTGAACCTGCGCTGCAGAGGCTGAGGACAGCTTAACAGTGCTGCGCTCAACCCCCTGTGCCACAAGGGAGGCCCAAAATATGTTAGGATGTTTTAGAAAAAAAATAGAAAAGTCTAGAGGTGGGTAAAATGCAACAGATTTTGATGTACCTAACTTTTCTTTCTTTCTTTCTTTTTTTTTTTAAAAGATTTATTTATTTATTTTTATATAAGCACTGGGTACAGTCAGAAGCATGGGAGGGTGAGAAGATTCACCAGAGCCAGAGAGGGGAGCAGAACAGGCAGAAGGACTGAGGTACACTGCTGAGGGGAGCAGTGGGCGCGGCAGGAGAGGTCTGCGCGCCATGTGGGACCCTTGCCCAGTGGCCGGGGATCGAACCCGGCGCTGCACAGGCTGCGGGCAGCTTCGCAGCTCAGCGCTCAACCACTGCGCCACCAGGGGAGGCCCCTCTTTCTTTCTTTTTTTTAAAAGATTTATTTATTTATGCATACAAAACCAGGGTACAGGCCAGAGGTGTGGGGGGTGAGAGAATTCACCAGAGACAGAGCAGGGAACTAATAGTCAAATCGACTGAAATACACTGCTGAGGGGAGCAGCAGGCAAGTCAGAAGTGTGCTGCACCATGTGGGTAGCTCTCTGGCCAGGGACTGAACTCGTGCTGCAGTGGCTGCAGATAGCTTCATAGGTTGTGTCTTAACCCCTCGCGCCACCAGGGAGGTTCACCTAACTTTTCTTTCTACCAACAAACATTTATTGAATGTCTGACATCTGTCACTGAATATGTACCATTGAGTAAGGTCCACCATGCTAGAGGCTAGTAAAGATTATTTTAGGCATTTACAATTTACTAATAGGGACACAAAGGAGGTGCTCAAAATTTTCTTGCTAAATTAATGTTGAAATGAGTGTCTTTAAAGTGCTATGGGAATGCAGAGGAGACTGGCTAACTCATTCCTGGGAAGACAAAAGAAGTCTTTCAGAAAGGAAGCCATCACACACAATGTACCCTTGTTCTCCTGTCTTGAGTGCTTTCTCTCCCAATCCCCAAAGACCTCAAGGTGGAGTGAAGGCAACTAATTTTTTTTCATGATGTACCTAGATTAAACAGAGAATTTCGGAAGATAATAGTGATAACATTCTTAATAAGTATGCAAGACGCCCTAGCCAATAAAAATGGCTATAAAAATAATCGCACTCCTTTAAAATATGAAAATCGAATCAGTATGAAAAATTTCATGAGTGACGACATTTTTATCTCATCATTATATATATGTATACATGTATTATTATGTATAAAATATATTATGCTACAATACAGAGTTAAAAATAGTTTGAAGGTATTGAAACACTTACAGCTATTTCAAACTCACCCAAGACTAATTGAGGCCAGTATGTAATTCTTTTCATTAGTGGGTAGGTGATGACAAGAAGTAGGGATGCTGCTCCCAATGCTATACTGAAATCAGGAAAAACCATTACAAGGATTAATATCACCCTCTCTTAGAAATCATTAAATAAGAGAATGGAAATTGGAAAACTAATTGGAAAATGATTTTTTATCTTAAATGGCTATTTTTTTGTTATGCAAAATTCTCTGCCTAGACTTTGACTTTGCCCATTATAAAGGATGATTAGAAAATATTTTAGGTGTTACAAAACAGCCAAACAAATGAATAGCTAACACTGGTAGTGATTCCATGTATTAAGCACTGCTCTAAATGTTTTATATATGTAACTCACTATAATTTTCACCACAACCCTAAGAGGCAGTAGTTTTAATTCTCCTTGTTTTTTTCAGATGAGGAAACTAAAGGACAAAGAGATTACATAATTTGCCAATTGTTAGAGCATGGTCAGAATTCAAAACCAAAGCAGTCTGGCTCCAGAGTCCAATTTGTTACCCATCTTAATGCTACTGCTTCTCTAAAATTTATTTTCAATCATTAGGATATCTAGTAAACTGAGCTGTCCTAACAGAGAATCAGAATCAATATAATTGTCTCTATATCCAAGAGAGAATATTACTTAGATAAGAATGAAATCACAAAGCAACTTTAGAACCTAAGTTGTTCTTAAGGTACCTCAAAGTTCAACTAACACCAGCCCTCCAGGAATCTTCTTCCAAAGTATTTTCATGGAGCTGATGATATCAGGGCAAGGTAAGCAATTATGTCTAGTGTCTATAAAATCACACTTATTTGCTGATCTCTTCCTTTTTTTTTTCTCCTCTCACTGAAGCATTTTGTAAGCAGTCATTTGATGCATTCAAGTTTAATTTTTTCTCTGAGAGGAACGAATCCTTCCACTTTTTTTCCATCATTGATTAGCAACATAATTCTGGGAAAGACACAGTTCTTCTTTTTTCAAAATAAACATATTCACTTTTGCTTCTATCCACTTCAGAGATGTTAGCATATATAAAATCATGTATAGGGGTATGTGCACACATAGTTATGTACACAGGTCGAAAACCTATGAAAGTGCTTGTGCCCTCTAGGGAACATGTAGTACAAATACGGAAAGAGGTTTAGAATAAATTAAATACTAATATCTAATTTCTTTGAATGAAAGCATTCTTGAAGCAGATAATTTACATGCTTGACATATAGCCAATAAGCAACTTTGTAACAGTTTCATTATATTTTAGCCTTACTTCCTGCATTTTAAAGGAGAGATTTTATAATGACTATGAAAAACACATCAACTATACCTGTAGTAATTCAGACACAGAAGTATACCCAGTGCCAAGGTCAGCTGGCCCCCGAGAAAAACAAAGGATCGAAAGATTGAAATGTCTCCAGCAGCTATTGGGCGATTTGCTGTTCTTGTAACCTTAACACAAACAAAAAAGGCAATCTGAGTACAGACAGTCCAGCATCTGAAATTAATTCCATCACTTGCTGGTGGTGTAAATTTTGGCAAATTACTTATTTTGAGCTTAAGTTACTTACTTGTTAAAGGAAAAAAAGAAAGAGGGTGAGGTAATAGCACTTACCTCATACAGTGAATGCAATGACTGAGGTGCATATAAGTACATAATAAAGTGTTATTTATTATTAATATAATACATTTTTGTTTGCTTTATACAAAGGGTTATTAGTAAACTACAGTCTACTGCCTATTGTACAGGGCACGAGTTAAGAATGAGTTTTACATTTTTTAGATGGATAGATGGCTAAAAATAAATTTAGAAAACAGCAATATACAATAACACATGAAAATAATATGAAATTCAAATTTCAGTGTTCATAAAGTTTTAGTGAAAAAGAGTGACCTTTTTATTTATGTATTATATATGGTTGCTTACATGCTCCAAAAGAGCTGAGTAGTTGCAACAAAAATGACATAGCCCTGGGCTTCCCTGGTGGCGCAGTGGTTGAGCACTGGGTTGCGAAGCTGCCCGCAGCGATCCCCCGGCTGCCAGGCCAGGGTCCCACATGGCGCGCAGACCTCTCCTGCCGCCCGCTGCTCCCCTCAGCAGTGTACCTCAGTCCTTCTGACTGTTCTGTTCCCCGCTCCGGCTCTGGTGAATTCTCTCACCCTCCCGTGCTTCTGACTGTACCCAGTGCTTGTATAAATAAACCTTTTTTTTTTTTTTTTTAAATATGATATAGCCCTTAGCAGAAAAAAGTAGCATGCTTTACTATACAGTAAGAATGTTTGTCAAAAACTGTAATGACTCATCTTGGTTAGAAAGTCAGAACTGAATCTTTTAACCCTAGTTTAGTCCCTTTAGTTTCAAGTAGAAAAAGTATTTATGTATTTAGTTTCAAGTAGAAAAAGTTTTTATATTTATATTAGATTTGTTCCAGGTAGTATTTGAGTGCTAACAACATACCACTATTCTAAGAGCCACGTACATACATACATCACATCACTATGTATTCCCAACAATCCAGTCTTTTAGCCACTCACAAGTTCTCGCCATTTCTAAGTTTAAGGAAATTGAGGCAGAAAGGCTCAGTAAATGGGCCTCCCCGGTGGCGCAGCGGTAGAGCGCTGGGTTGCGAGGCTGCCCGCAGCCTCTGCGGCGCCGGTTCGATTCCCGGCTGCTCCCCGGCCACCGGAGGAGGGTCCCACATGGTGCGCAGACCTCTCCTGCCGCCCGCTGCTCCCCTCAGCAGTGTACTTCGGTCCTTCTGCCTGTCTGCTCCCCGCTCTGGCTCTGGTGAATTCTCTCACCCTCCCGCGCTTCTGACTGTACCCAGTGCATGTATAAACAAAACAAATGAACAAACAAATAAATAAATAAATAAAACATGCCTCTATTAAAAAAAAAAAAAAAAAAGAAAGGCTCAGTAAACTTCCAACGTCATGGATGCTTGGTAGCACAGCCAGTCCAGTGCTATTACAAGATTATGCCACATCTTCTGAGTGATAATGCTGGCTAAATTTAAATGCTGAAAATAAGCACTCTGTCCAGAGACTAAAAATGACATAATGATCAAAACACATTTTATGTGTACTTTACTGAACCAAAACACAGCTTGTAAAACCAAAGCCAAATTATTAATATCTGTTCATTGAGGTTATTTCAATGTTTATGGACTTAATGTTTATCACATCACTATTAGATTATATACAAAATCAGCAAAACATAACCCATATATCCTAACTCACTTATCATTTAATGTATAAGCCATTTTCTTATGATCTGTATTAAGCAAAATCATGAATCATAATCATATATATTCTTTTTTAAACAAGAAGTTTATTTAAACAAGAATTTTATTTAAGTAAGATACTTGACTTGAGGGGAAGCTATCTAGGATTCATTTTAGAATAATTATCCCTACTTAACGAGAGATTGTCTTACATGTAACAGCTACATACAAGGAAGTTATAAAATTGTCCTTGGCTTTACAAGGTAAAATAAACATTAAAATTCTCCAGTTGAACAAGGTATACATGAATTTTTAAGTTTTTGGAGGTGGGGGGGCTGTTAAACATTGAGAGCAAAATAACTTAGTGGAATATAAAGATAAGAGCTGAGGAGCATGCCATTAATGGAAAAAGGAGGTATTTTTACAGAAACATTATTTTCCTCCACCCCATCTCCATTTGATGTCCATCAAAACACAGCATTGGCCATTTAGCTAAAAAAAAATGTAATATGCTTATGCACATATACCAATAATCATATTTTAATGATAAAGTCTTTACAAAACTGTAAGATAAGCATTAAAATTTGGCTAAGCTTTTTAACTCATGTTTTAAAAGAAATGTACTTAATATTTAAAAATTTATGTTAGCAAAACCACCTCAATAGCTATAAAATGATCACTTAAGTGTTGTGTTGAATATCAATATAGAATATGGGTTCTTCATATCACAGAAACATTGCACAGGGGAGATGTAAAATATCTAATCAGTTCCCTGTTAGGTAGGGAGAAAAAAATTACTAAAGAGGGAACTAAACTGGTGATATTTTGTTAATAAAATGGAAAAATTGGTCTGAATACATTTTTTAAAACTTTTTCTGTTAAATGTAAATTCTGATGTAATTTTTAAAAAGCTCTGTATTTTAAGAAATTTAGAGATAACACACACCTTTGATTCAGTTTTCCCCAAGGGTAAGACCTTGCAAAGCTATACAATGTAACAAAGCCAGGATTTTGACATTAGTTCTAAAATGTTCAAGAAATATTATGATATAACATATACATATAATAAGATAATATATATATTATATATCCCTTATATAATATATAAGGGATGATATTCATTTCATATAATTCATGATTGGTTTCTTTTAAATTAAAAGTTATTTGATTATTTAGTCAAGTGTGTTATGGCATGGTTGCTAGTATATAAAGCAAACAAGATGGACCCTTCCCTTGAGAAAATAACAATCTACTGAGGGAAAAAAGTAATCATATACACTAGAGTACCCATAGAAAATAACTCAGAGGAATATAATGTATCAAACATTATAAAGAGCACTTGTATTTTCTATTCTTCTTATTTCTGTACAAAGAAAAATGTGAATTTTTCAGAATAAATATTTTTCTATTTTCTAAGAACAAAACTATGATTTTAAAGAAATGTTTATCGCAAATGCTAACAGGGCTTCCCGGATTCACTTCAATTAAGATTTGATTAGGTAACAGTAAGTATGACTCTAATATATCTCTCAAAGGAAGGCATAGCGGTTCTTATAGACACTCAGAGGTTCAGCATGGATTTTTGTTTTTTTATCTTCACTCCCAACAACCTTACCCTCACCCTTCTAAATTCTTAATTTATTTTGTAAAAGTGAAGTACACATCTTGCTGCCATAGTGGCTCGTATGGTGAGAAAGCAAGTGCACTTCACTTTGTCCCACCAGCTAGTCAACTGATACTGATACTTCTTACGCGGGATTTCTATGAGGACAATCAATTCATTCAAAAGTGATGTGACCCACCCAAAGCAGTGATAGTGAAGGCAAAGATAAACAGCTGGGACTACATCAAATTAAAGAGCTTCTGCACAGCAAAAGAGACAATAACAAAAACAAAGAGAAACCCCACCGACTGGGAGAACATTTTTGCACACAACACTAATGATAAAGGACTGATCACAAAAATCTGCAAAGAGCTGATGAGACTCAGCAACAACAAAGAAAATAATCCAGTCAAAAAATGGGCAGGGCCTCCCCAGTGGTACAGCGGTTGAGTGCTGGGTTGCGAAGCTGCCCGCAGCCTCTGCGGCGCCAGTTCGATCCCCAGCTGCTCTCCGGCCACCGGAAGAGGGTCCCACATGGCGCGCAGACCTCTTCTGCCGCCCGCTGCTCCCCTCAGCAGTGTACTTCGGTCCTTCTGCCTGCTCTGCCTCCCGCTCTGGCTCTGGTGAATTCTCTCACCCTCCCGCACTTCTGTCTGTACCCAGTGCATGTATAAACAAAACAAAACAAACAAACAAATAAATAAATAAATAAAAACATGCCTCTATAAAAAAAAAAAATGGGCAGAAGAGCTAAAAAGAAACTTCTCTGAAGAGGAAATGCAAATGGCCAACAGACATATGAAAAAATGTAATCTTGTAATCAGGGAAATGCAAATCAAAACTACCATGAGATACCATCTTACACCAGTGAGAATGGCACATATTAAAAAAACTAGCAACAACAAATGTTGGCGAGGTTGTGGAGAAAAAGGAACTCTTCTACACTGTTGGTGGGAGTGCAAACTGGTCCAACCACTATGGAGAGCTGTGTGGAGATTTCTGGACCTACGAAACATAGAGCTTCCATATGATCCAGCAATTCCACTCCTAGGTATTTACCCAAAGGACACAGAAACATCAATTCCAAAGAACACCTGCACCCCTATGTTTATAGCAGCACTATTTACAATAGCTAAGCTTTGGAAACAGCCCAAATGCCCAAAAATAGATGACTGGATCAAGAAGATGTGGTACATATATACCATGGAATATTACTCAGCATTCAAAAAAGATAAACACATGCAATTTGCAGCAACATGGATGGCACTGGAAGGGATCATGCTCAGCGAAATAAGCCAAAAAGAAAAAGAAAAATACCGGATGGTCTCACTCATAGCAGGAATCTAGAAAACTTAAATAAGGGACCAGGAAAATGAATAACTGTAAGAAAGTGAAAATCAAAATCAACAAAAAACTATGAACCAGAGACACTTTTTGGGGGTTGGGGGGCGAGAGGGGAGGGATTGGGGTCAGAATGGGGGGTTTGCAATTGTATGGGGGAATATAAAAATAAAATTTATTATTTAAAGGAAAAAAAATAAAGATGAAAGAAAAACAAACAAACAAACAAACAAAAAAAACCCAAAAGTGATGTGACCATGTTACTCTGCAGAATTGAGGGGAGCCTCTCTGTTCCTTTTTATCCAGGATGAAACTACCTTTTTATCGTAGTCCTGGTCCCATAAGTCATTAATAGTACAGCCTGCTCCACGCATCAGAACAGCTCCAGTGCCAAAGAGGGATAACATGTGCCAATCTGGAAAACAGCCTGGTTCAGCTGCCAAACTAATGCTCCAGGTACATGGCAGATACAGCAGCCAGGTTCCTAAGCAAAAACAGAAAGACAAAAAATGTACAAGTTCAAATGTCTTCATTTATTTAAATACCATATCTCAAAGAATTAAAGAGCACTATAAGCCAAGTCAAGAAACATTTGAGGGGCCTCCCCGGTGGCACAGAGGTTGAGCGCTGGGTTGCGAAGCTGCCCGCAGCTTCTGCAGCGCTGGTTCGATTCCCAGCTGCTCCCCGGCCACCGGAGGAGGGTCCCACATGGCGTGCAGACCTCTCCTGCTGCCCGCTGTTCCCTCAGCAGTGTACTTCGTCACTCTGCCTGTTCTGTTCCCCGCTCTGGCTCTGGTGAATTCTCTCTCACCCTCCTGCGCTTCTGACCGTACCCAGTGCTTGTATAAATAAATAAATCTTTAAAAATAAAAAAAAAGAAACATTTGAAAAAACTGGTAAAACAAATTTGCAATTCATATTACAAAGGACTAACATGTAGAGTTCCTAGAAATTAAGCCCACGGAAAAAGAAATATAAATAACTCCTATACATATGAAAAAAAAATTCAATTAAGATGAATACACATTAAAATGACGTTACTATAACATTTTCACTTGTGGTAACTAACATATGTCTGAAGAGGTGTGAACCTATATCCTAAATCATATACAATATTGTAAGTCAATGTTATCTCAATAAAAATAATACAAGTTTTTTGAAAAAAACAAACAAACAAACAAACAACCCAATAAACATTTTTCACCTATCAGAATGGCAAAATCCAAAGTTTGACAGGGATATGAAATATTCTCATAAACAGTCCAACCCTTACGGAGGACAACCTCAAATTTTTTACTGTGTGTTTTTACATATAAGCATGCACACACAAGACACACACAAAACAAACAGATACAGTTGAAACCTAGTATGTTCTTAGACCATAGCAGGAAGGGTACAGTAGAAACAGGTAATAGTAATTATCTCTGAGGAGAACTGGGTAGGAGACAAGGATGGGAGACTTAGTTTTTATTCTACACTCTTGTACTTTCAGAATTTTTAATCCCATGTATGCAACCTACTCAAAAATGGCTAATAAAACTTCCTTTACTGTTGTTAAGTACAATACAATTCAATAGCCTTGGGGAGAGGGCTGTTTACCTATAGTTTTTTGGTCATTTTTATACTGAATATTTGGCAGCTACATGGACAAATGGGATTAATTCTTGGTACTTAGCCCATAAACTAGATAAAATTCCGTCAAAACAAAAGACATTGTATGGCTAAAAGACTTCACACATGAACTTCAGTAGCAGAGAATTCTACTTTTGAAACGAATGTTTGGCTATAGTGCCTATTTGACAAATTCTGAGTTTTCCTTCTCTAGTTAGAGATATAAGAGAAAAATGATATGAGGCTAAAGAAAGATCAGCTCCAGGACAAAATTGGTCTAATAACAAAGTTCCTATAATCTTATTTAAGCTTCAATAAGTTTAAACTTTATTCATTTACAAACATTTATAAAGCACAGACTTTCTGCCAGAGCTGCACGAGGAACTGGATGTATTATGATGACTGACAGGTGGTTTCTGCCCTCTTATAGCTTACACATCAAAAAAAAAAGAATCAGACAATAACAATAAATCAAATCAACAAGAGGTCAAGTAAAAGTCCTAGAAAGGCATAAAATAGTACCATCCATTTTAATTGGGGAGGAAATGACGAAAGCTTTTCCCCTCACTGTAAAGGTAAGGAGAGGTTGAAAACAAGAAATAGCCAGTTCACAGTCAGAATTCAGGTTGTCCTAGACAGACTCATGCTCAATGCATTCCAGCCAAGACGGTAAAACTAGCTAACCTTAAATGTCAACCAATGTTCCAAGTGCTCATATGTATAAACTCTTTTTTTTAAAAAAAGATTTATTTATTTCTGCATACAAGAACTGAGGTACAGGCCAGAGGTGCGGTGGGTAAGAGGATTCACCAGAGACAGAGTGGGGAACAGAACAGACAAATGGATGGAAATAAACTGCTGAGGGGAGCAGTGGATGAGGCAGGAGAGGTCTGCTGCGCTCTATGGGTTGCTCCCTGGCTGGCCAGGGTTCGAACTCACACTGCAGTGGCTAAGGATAGTTTCATAGGTTGCGTCTTGACCACTTGTGCCACCAGGGAGGCCCCTATATGTATAAACTCTTAATCTTTAATGACACCCTTATGAAGCAGTCACTATTATTACCCTTTTTTTTTTTTTACACATGAGGAACAGATGCAGAAAGAGGTTAAGTAAGGCATAATGAGTTTAATTACTTTCTTTTCCTTTCTTTCTTTCCTACCTTCCTTTCCTTTCTTTCCTACCAGTATAGTTCAGATGGTCAGAGGAGAAGTTGCTCTGATAAAAGGAAACCTCTTCACAGATATTATTTCCTTGGTATAATTAGAACTAAAATTTCTATTTTTTAAAAAATGTAGACATAAAGATGTGTAATCACCTATAGAATTTTGTGTCAGGAACAAAAATCTCCTTAGCGTAAGTCTATATTAAATTCACTTACTAAGAAATCTTAGGGTTCCTGTAGCGGTGAGGTGAAAGTCAGACTTCTGATTCCACGTCTACTACTATTAATAATGGGAGTGATAGCAGACACTAAAGTATAAACTTTAAAACTCAGTCTTTATCGTGTATAAATAAATGAAAAAAAAAAAAATCTCAGAGCTGCTGACAAGAGAATATTAATGACAGTGATAATGAAAACTACAGTAAATTCATAGTGCTTACCATGCGTCAGATAGGCACTATCTTTATTATACCAATTTAACAAATACAGGAATTGAAGTACAAAGAAAGTAATATGCTCAGGGCTACACAGACAAGAAGTGGCAGAATTAGAATTCAAACCCAGGCAGTCTAGCTGTAGCCTATGTCCTAGGGACCTAGGTTACTTTTCCTGGAAAGCTCAGTTAATATGTAGTTGATTCACTGACATTGAAACAGACTTCTGTGCGCAGAGCTTGTCCAGCTATGCCATTGTGAAAGCGCATGGAGAGCTGGATCTGTGACAGGATTTGTCAGGGGAGAGGAGTGTTAGAACACTCCATTAACCTAAATCACTACATTTAAGTTCTTATAGTTCTCTGATCCTCCTGCATCTCAACTTTTTTTTTTTTTTTTGTATTTCCTATGACTTTTCATTATGCTCTCTTCCATGAAGAAAGATGCAGAGATAGCAAGGAGACAACCAGGTTTCAGAAAGAAACATTTATTTTACAAAAAGCAAAAACTTTGGGAGAACAAATTCTGAAGGTGATAGGCAGACCAAAGTGCCTGTGTAAATCCAGTCTAACTTTCACTGACTAGTTGCACATTATTTTCAAGACAACAGAATCACCTGTAAGTGCACTAAAAGGAAAATTACTCGCAATTTAGAGGAAAGAGTGCCACCTGCTGGATCTTCCTGAAATAATGTAGTTTGTGACTGAAAGATCTCGTAATTTATTCCAAAAAATAAAACCCACTTTGGTTTGTGAAATAACAAATTCCAACATCCAAAGTAAAACAATGAACATAAAATTATCCCACAAAAGAATTTAAATAAACATCAAACCTGGAATTCTACTGTTCCTGACACACAGTAGGAACTCAAAAAGATGTTTATTGAATCAGTTGTAAGTCTTAAAAAAAATCCTGCATTCATAATCTTATTCAGAACCAGAGCACTCAGTTGGTATCTTCTTAATATACATAGTAATATTAGCTAGCAGTTCTATAACATTTATGCCAAGCACTGTTCTAATGACTTGACATATACTAATGAACTCTCATGACACTTTATAAACTCACAATTATGAATATCTTTATTTCATAGAATATAATAAAGGTTCAGAGAGGTAAAGAAATTTAATCAAGCTCCTTCAAGTACATAGTGATTCAAACTCGAGGTCTGGTTCTAGAGATATGTTCATGACCCCTCTGCAGCCTCTTACTATGCAGCGGTGGTGTGGGTGTTCTAGAAACCAGAGGGAAGTAAACAGAGGTTTAATTGTGGAAATGGGAATAAGGGCAGTTGTTGGTCTGTCTTGGATGCCTATACTACAGCTCTGTGACACAAAACCCTATAAATAAGATTGTAGTTAGGCTTCAGATTAGAACTGGGCATGGAAATTTATGCTTTATTGACTTGTATCTAGTACCAAAATGCAAGGGGCTGTGATGGAGGGCTGTGACTATCATTTGCTTTCATATTTTTTTTTTTTAAAGATTTATTTATTTATACAAGCACTGGGTACAGTCAGAAGCACGGGAGGGTGAGAGAATTCACCAGAGCCAGAGCAGGGAGCAGAGCATGCAGAATGACCGAGGTATACTGCTGAGGGGAGCAGCGGGCAGCAGGAGAGGTCTGAGAGCCATGTGGAACCCTCCTCCGGTGGCAGGGAGCAGGCGGGGATCAAACTGGTGCTGCAAAGGCTGCGGGCAGCTTCGCAACCCCGCGCTCAACCACTGCGCCACCGGGGAGGCCCTGCTTTCATATTTTAATTGTTAAAACTCTGAGTGCTCTGATCCCAAATAGGTAGTGTATATGTTTGGAATAACAAAAACAATAATTTGAGGTTTTGGCTGACAAAGGTGAAATGTATGTTTCTAAGCATTGAAATGTAAATCAATGTACTGCAATGGCAAATGCATCATCTAAATTACCTGGAATTCAGTCTACCCCTCCTTCCTCATTGTCCATTCTTCTTCAGTCCATCTCTAATCCTGTCTTGATTCCCACTATTTTCTTCATTACCTGGTTCCAGATCAGCTCATATCTTTAGTGATTCAACACTTCACTCTTCAGACTCTGCAAAAAACGTTTCCTTCACCAATCAAGATTTCTACCCCATCCAAAATCTACCTGTCCTTTGAACACCAATTTATTCTTGAAATTTTCCCCAGCAATAGAGATAAACTGTAACTACTCTTTCTCCAGCAGCATTTGCCATTGGTACCAATTATAATTGAGCCCATACTTTCTCAGTTTACCCAATAGTTTTTTCTTTTCTTTCCCTGCAAGGCTGGTAGTTCCTTGAAAGTAAGCAGTTTCCCCGATCTCTAACCTTACAGGAGGTGATGTAGGAATTTATTAATTCCCTCGGTACTACTGCCCAGGCTCTATTTTCAGCACTAAATAGACAAATCCCATGCATGTGGAGCTTTTAGACTAGCGAAGAAGTCAATCAGCCAATAAATGCAAGTTTATTAGTAGTGAGCTCGATAAACCAAGTGGTAGGCGTGTTTTAAAAAGGACTGCAAGGGAACTCCTTCCTCAGAAGGCGATTATGAGCTGATAGGGCAGTCCAGAAGTGCTGTCACTGTTGCATTCACATGAATTAAATCTTTACTTTCAGAAAAGTGCAAAGAGCTAGAACTGGGCATCAAAACACATATTCATCTGGTCTGGCTCTGTCAAGAAAGCCTTAGTTGTCTTAAGTACCTGCTCTGGGATCCTTAACGGTAAGGGTCAAATACAATGATTATGGAAGTGCCTCGACACTGTAAATCTGCGCTAAAATAGTGACAAGAGAAACGGAATTTACGCTCGATTCACTATTTAAACAAAGCCTGTGGAATGAGCGACCTTTTACCCCGCTTGGAGAGCTCAGGATTCAGAGGGGTGCCCAGGGTCACTTAGATCTCCCAGTGCCGGCGTCGTCGGCGCCTAAGCTCTGGCTTTTGGGCTTTTATTTGCACGACGGCCGCGCGCCCACCCGCACTCACCGATGGGCTTGTCCAAGCGCATGAGGCGCAAGTAGGGCTGCAAAGGGCGGGGCGCCGAGTCCACCACCGCGGCCGCCGACAGGCTGAGCTGACGCCCGCGGGGCCCGGGCCGGCCAGTGGCCTGCCAGTCCCCAGCGCCGGGCGCGCCCGCCACGCGCGCCGGAACCAAGGAGCGCGCGCCAGAGCCCAGCAGCCCGGTCCATGTCTGGGCTCGCAGGCCCCGCAAGAGCCCCGCGCCCAGCATAGCGCACGGGAGGGCGTGTCTCGCCCCGCCTGACGTCATCCCCCCGCGCCAGGTCGCGGGCAGGCGTGCGCGGTGGCGTCAGTGGCGCCTGCGGGGTCAACACTGCTACGGGTTGAGAGCCGTAGAATGACCTGAAAAGGGAATTGTCGAAGTTACTGTACCCTGACACCCCCACTCACTCCCCTCCGCTCCCCCCACCAACATTTAGCGTCAAGGAAATTCGTGTCAGCTTTCTCCATAAATGAAAAGATCACTTGAACAAAAAATCGCGGAAAACGAAATAATGATTTGCAGCAAGTTGATACCTTTGTAAAGCCAAAAAGGCCCCAAGCGGTCAAATTCAAGAATGTAAATTAAAGTCATGTACCACTATGGGGCCTTTTTTACACAAGTGAAAACCTTAACTGAGGGCCGTTCAAAGGAGCTCATATAATGGAGAGGCAGCGAGCATGTGGGACGCTGAGACTCAGGCCAGAGTATCTTAATCACAGTCAACTGGGATAGCGCTGTGTGCCAGGCACTGTTATAGACACTTGACATGCATTACCTCATTTAACTACTTAGTGACCATGGGCAAGTCTATAATCTAATACTAGATCATAGTATTCTGGGAGAACTGGATAATTCTTTGAATTCCTTTTTTTATTTTATTTATTTATTTAAATATGTATATTTTTTAAAAGATTTATTTATTTATTTATGCAAGCACTGGGTACAGTCAGAAGCGCGGGAGGGTGAGAGAATTCACCAGAGCCAGAGTGGGGAACAGAACAGGGAGACCAATGAAATACACTGCTGAGGGGAGCAGCGCGCGCGCAGCAGGAGAGGTCTGCGCGCGCGCGATGTGGGACCCTCGCTGGCGGCAGGGGATCGAACCAGCGCTGCAGAGGCTGTGGGCAGCTTCGCAGCCCAGTGCTCACCGCTGCGCCACCAGGGGAGGCCCATATTTTGCTTTTCTAAGGCGCACAATACACAAGCTGTCTACATATCTATATCATTTTATAAAAGACCATTAATAGCATATACAGTTGTGATTAGTTACTCATGCTACTACCGTTTTAGTTTTAAACACACTTTTTATTTACTTAAATTAAAAAAAATTGATTGAGGTAACATTGATTTACATCGTTGTTTGTATTTTGGAAGTATAGTGTCTCCCCCAGTTTTAAATACTCTTGCTTTGATATTGTATTGCATTATCATATAAAACAGATGGGTATTTGTTAAGTTTTATTGGTAATCAAAATTCTGATCAGAAGGACATCATAAAATTCAGAGTAAATGTTCAGACTATTGTAGAAACAAAGATATATGAATAAAACTGTTTGAATTATAGGGGAGGTATTGAAACTAATGTGTGTGAGTCTATGTCCATATCACCCTGAAAGTGCCTATCTCCTCTGATCTTGAAAGCTAAGAGGGTCAGGCCTGGTTATTACTGGGATGGGAAACTGATGTGTGAGCTGAGTTTTTAGGAATAAGAAAGTTTGCTAGAGAGGAGAGTTAGCAGAATAGTTCAGGGGGAGAAGAGATAGCACAGCACCAAAGGCATAGGAACACATGTAAAAGAGACTGTATGCTCTCATTTCTCAATGTGTGGGCTGGAGAATAGAAGTCACTGAGAGAGTGACGAGAGTTGGGACTGAATAGGTACCTGCCAGGTTAGGGAGGACCTCATGTGCCTATAAGAAATTGGAAATCATTTAAGAATTTTAAGTTAAGCCAGGGAGAACCACTAGAGATTACTATCACAATGCAAGTGAGAATTTAGATCTTGAATTTATTAAGTGGTAGAGGGGGTAGGGGAAAAAAAAGTAAACAAGACCAGACTAAAATCATGATTGAATATACCTGATGAAGTAAGAAATCGTATTTGTACAGGATGATCTCTTTTCTTCAAGGTCAATTCTTTCAGTGTGTATGTGAGGGCTGGGGTGGGAGGGCTGAATGGACAAATAAAGTAGGAGGTATAAACAAAGGAGCAAAGGAAAACAGGGCTTCCAAATGTAGGAATATGTCGGCTTTGCTTTATTAAAAGAAAAAATGTGCAATATTGAGGCTACAAAAATTACTTTATTTCAAATGTGAAAAATATAAAAAACCACTTACATATAAAATTTTAGGGTAGTAAAGCATTTCCAGCTTTAGTTCCTTATAGATGTACTTATTTGAGACAATATTCATAGCAGGCATAAATATAAAGATATTCTATTTCTAAAAGTTAAGATCAAGGAAAAAACAATGCATTCTGGCATTGATGAAAAGCAGTGATCAGTGCCATAGACTTCCCCAAACCCTCTCCATTCTAAAAGATTACTAGGAGACAATTCTAGGACTCTTGGTGATATTGCTAGTGATTGAGGAAGTGGTCATGTGATCCATCCCGGAACCTAAGAGGAGAACCTCTGAGAAAGGTTCTTCAAGCCTTCAAGGAGATACAGAACAAGTTGCTCATTTTCTTTCTCTGGATGCCATCAGGTCTGAATGGGTCCACGGACTAGCTCCCTCAATTATTCCAATAGCTTGAGAGTGAAGCCAAAATGTACAGTGGAAGCACAGAGAGAAGGAGAGAACCTGGTTCCATGGTGACCTTGTGTGCCATGGAGTCTACCCTTCTTTAATTTGTTCTTATATGGGATTATAAATGTCCTTATTGCTTAAGACATTTGAATCAGGGGTTTCTATTACTTGTGGTGAACTAAACTACCCAACTAAAACTTAAACTAAAGATAGAATAAAAGTAAACATTAATAGATAGTTATACCATGTTGAATTAAAATTTCTCCTCTTGTTAAATCAATTTCATTTAAAGTTTACATGATTTCATTCCTTTGAATTGCCATTAATCGTTTAACACTATCACATCTAACCAATGTCATCACATGGTATTGCTGACAAAGACAAACAACAGAGAAAAGAACAGCAGCTAAATTGAGCTGTCTAAGAAGATTGTCTCTCTTTTATTTAGAGGTGGTGGCTGTCAAGTTTTTCTAATGAGAGCCCATTGGTACAGCTCATGGAAGAAAAAAAGTCTAACAGTCTCTTTAATAATTGTTTAAAAAGACCGACTTAGCATATTTTAAAACTAATAATATATCCTTCACATACTCGCCTCCTGGCTGCATTGGGATCATTGGTGTGCCTTTTTAGTAATCTTAAATAAAAATCGTATACTCAAAGTACTAAGCATAGTGTTGGGCACAAGATATTATTAGCTATTATTACTAGCAGTGATCTACTTGGAGAGAACAAAATATATGCCAAATCTAGCACCGAGTATCCTAGTGTCACCAAAACACCACCTAGATGATTTGTAAGGTATCTGTTTGCTTTTCTATAGCTTGACCTTTGCCTTACTCTTTAGTATCCTTGAAAAGATTAATCTCAGGGCTACTGTATGCCTTTCATTTTCAGATACACGCAGCAACTTTGGCATTTCTTATCACAAAAAACCCATAGGAGAAAGCTGGCAAGCCCAGTGAACTCCCAGGATGGAGAGGTTTTTCTGTCAAAGCTGGCAGGGTTTGATCATCCACCATCTTCAGAGTTTGACCATTGAGTTGGACAGTTCTGCCAGGGGAGAAGACACATCCAAGTTAGCCAAGTGGTTTGTGTGTCATTCCTATTCTACAAAGCTCATGAGATTTTTTTCTGGTCAATTTTTTGTTTATTTGTGGGCAACCTATACTATATAACTTGTATTTCAATACTCTGATCAGTTAGGTATTTTACCTAGATGATTTTTAAGCTACAGTGGTACAGTTTAATAATTGTGACCGAGACCATATGACCTGCAAATCCTGAAGTATTTACTAAATATTATCTTACAGAACATGGAACACTCATGGTGGACATATAAAAAGGATTAACATGACATAACTTCTGTTTTGCTGCTATTTTTTGATGGTAAAATACTTAAAAACATTTTTATAGAAAGCAAATATATAAGAAATAAAATGTAAATTTCACAAATTTAATATAAAAAGTGGTAATCAATGAATTTTCCCACTTGTAGCTATGCCCATAACCCTCCAGCGGTATGCATTCATTTTTTAAAAAATATTTTGGAAGAATATATGTTGCTGTGCTGAAATAAAAATGATTTATTTGTTTAAACCACAGATTCCAAAAAAATGTTTTCTTTGCATTTAACTATTGGAATTCAAATTCAAAATGTTATTCCATTGTATCGCTATTACCTTTTTCTCTAATGCTTTTTATATTATGAAAAAAAGTTTGCATTTCATTATTGAAAATTTAGAGGATGAATGTCAGAAGCATGTCAGTCTTATATGGAATAACTCTAATACACATAGTACTCTTATAATAGTGCATTGCATATAGTAAGCACTGTAAATGTATCTATCATCATCATTAATATTCAGATAAATATAACAAAGGTAACCTGATAACTCATCATAACCATTTAAACATTTATATGTATATTCCCTTATCTTTTTTCTTTGTAGGTATATATGCACATATGTTTACCTAAACAAAAGTGAACATACTATAGTCTCTTAAAACCTGATTCTTTTTCCCTTAACACATTCCAACCTTTGCTCATGCCATTAAATATTCATCCATTACATCACTTTAAAGGTTGCACAGGATTCTGTTGTGTGAGCACATTAGTTCATGTACTTAATTGTCTAATGTTAGACATTTAGTTGTTTCCAGCTTAGCATTATTATAAAGTTATCAGCTTTAAAGGTTTCCACACTCTGTCCTCATTATCATTCAGCAGTGTAGAGGCAGGACAGGTACAGCGCAGGTTTTCTATGACTGCAGCAGATGGGGTAAAGGAGAAGTCCTGGAGCCCTCGGTGGCTTTTGAAGCCTTTTATTGGGTTTACCAGGTACATGGTTTACCAGGGGACCGGGAGGCTGGCAGGCCACCCAGCCCCTGCGAGTCTTCACTCTTTTTCGGCCCTCCAATGTTCTCTCATGGCCTTTGCTTCTCTGCTCCTTTCGCTCTCTTCTGGTGTTCTCTTTCATTCTGCTGGCATCTCCATGACGCCGCCTTTATAAGCCCAGTCTCT